TTGTTAATAGAACAAAAACCTAGAAGTAAAATATATTCCTTGCGTCCTTGTTCAATCCGTGGCATGAATGGATTTGGTATTTAACAGCAGGTTAACAGATTTGTTAATATGGATACTGCATAATGCGATGCATTGCAGACACAACAAATAAATAATAAGCTTAAGATGCCATTTACTTGGGCTGTATAACAAAAACAGGGGATAGTCTTATTTAGAATTATTGTATATAGTATTCAGTATATATTGTATTCAGTATTCAGTGAGATTTTGTGATGTCTGAAGAGCTGGTAAATCTGACAATAATCACGTTGCTCTTTCTGGGGATTCAGCTGATCGATAATGAATGGCCGTAACCAGTCCAAGCCGCTTGTTTTCGAACGGGTAATATTGGCCAAAACTTAAATCAAACTATTTTGAAGAATGTATGTCCGCCAAGATGTACATTTACAAGGATAAAACGTAGTCTGTATCTAAAAGGAACGGATGAACTAGTCCGTGCAGTTTTGTTTTTCATCTGCCGAGCCTAAAATGGTATTTGAGGCAGGAAAAAGGAAACTAGATTGCACAGAGCATCTGCTCGGTAAGAGAATCAAAACCAAGGGTGAATAATTGTGTAAAGCTTCTCCTAAAGTTGCCGTTGTTTATTTTCATCCTATATTTGTAGCCCATAATTAAACTTCTTTTGGTCAGAGGGACGTAGTTTTTGTTTCTTTAGGTAGAGAAAGCACTTTAAAACACCGTAATTTTTCGGGTTATAACCTAAACTGTCAAGGTTTTGTGGGGTTTTAAGAATGATTACCTTAGCTTAATTCAGTCTCAACCAAATGCGTTGACGAAATGCACGTGTTTGTTCCTGTTGAATCACGAACAATCTTAATTCCCTCAATCTGGTGAATAAAAGTGAAAATGTAGGACGCGGTCATACGATTAACCTAGGAAACACGACTAGGCTCCATGTGTGCGAGAGAGCACACGCATTTTGAAGACTGTTCAAGACGAGAAGAGAGTGAAATTCGTGAATGATTTTAGATGGCACGCTGCCCCGATAAGATGTTATTTTCCTTTTACGTGTTGCACAACTCCCTTTCATTATGCTTGCACGTGTGTATGTACGTGTGTATTTAGGCAAAATCCAAAGCCATTCTCTTGGAGATGAATTCTGAGCTGTGTTTATCTTGTTTACACATAAGGTCCGAAAGAGCCCACGTCAACCATCTATTATCTTTTATTTATACAGTTAGGGAAGGCGCAGCAATATGAGGTTGGGAATGATGGCGAAAAGTGCCTAGTTATTTTCTGGAGCGGTGGTGTGGTGGTGGAAGAAAAACAGGTCACGGACACGCATGCACACAGATGAATACATTAAATTCTCTGAAGTCCAGTACATATCCATTTTGTGTGGGATTCGTGTTTCGTCAGTGTTATTTCTGACAATTTAACAATCATGTTTTTTGTTTTGTACCGGCGCTTCCACGGAAGGAAACGTTAAAGTTTCCTTTAACGTCTTGCAAGGCTCTGCAAAGATAATGCCCTGTTTAAATTTCACATAATATCAAAGTTTAACATTAAGAAAAGATCGAGATTTGTGTTAGTTGTTGAAGACAATGAGAGACTAGGGCTATATGAAATAATTTATGGCAATAGCATTTATATCTATATATCGTGAATGAAGTGACAGAAAAATACAGAAATAATTTTCTCATTTTGAATAAGTGAATATTTTATGTTTTATGTATTAACTTGTGAATTGTCGCGGGTTTTGCATTTCCTATAAATTCTTCCTTGCAAGTTTCTACTTTGCAGTAAAGAATTCAACGTATTTTAACAAAGGGGCAACAACTACGGGTCAACAGCTGCTCTTCCTGTAAATACATTTTTCTATGTAACCGAGAAGCCTAAAACAATCTAGATAGGCCTATTATTATAGAGTAACAACAGAGGGAGAATCAATAATAAATGCTGCAGCAATCACAATGACAGTGATAATATTAATAAAAAATAATAATTATGTCGTTTTCAGTCAGTACAGAGCTACATATTATTCACAGGTCCCTCTTGTAAGAGGAATGCAACGTAATGGTTTAACATCTTATAAAACACCCAAGCAACGATGGCAAAAAAAAAATCCGCCCTTCCAATTCAGAAAGAGCTCACCCCCTTGTGTTTAAGGGTTGTGTCCCCGCTGAGAGGTCCACAGTCTTTGGGAATACAGAGTGGAGATTGAAAGAGGCATCCTGTTTTCCCCCACAATCTGAGTTTTGCCATGCTACACAATCTCATCAATCATGACTGTGGAAAACAAAAATTAAGATTCAGCATGGGAAATCCGCGTCAACAGACTTTTCATTTTGAAGGACAAATATTGGTGTTTGTGGTAAATGCAACCCTCTGAATATTTTAAAAACAGGTAGCCCTGACGAGATTCCACTGAGGACCGTGTATGTTGTTCTCGTTGTCAATAGCCAACGGCCCTGTTAAATTGTGTGACATTGTAGTCCAAACGTCATAGACTTGTTTTACATTTCAAATATTTTTTTAAGAGATGGCTTAACTCAGAAACTGGGAATCAGGTACATCAAGGAATGCCTCCCAATACAGCATTTCTCCCAACAACAGAAGCACACGTAAATTGCCTGCAGAGTGACTGTTTCGTTTAGAAGGGCGCTGTTGTTATTTTCTTATCCTGGGAAAGTGTCCCACTTACATTATCCCGAGTGTTATGCTTTCAGGAAAAAAAGCGGTACTTCATATGAGCACGTGCAAAAAAATGTCCGTTTTTGGACCGAAAAAAACACCCTTTTGAACAAAGAGAATTTGAAACCAGCGCAGTTAAAAAATATACTGTACGTCTGTAATTTGTTAAAGATGATGTAAACTAAAAGTAGATTTTATCAAACTCGTGCGCTGTGGGCATCAATATTGCATATATATAAATACACATTATTCAAGGGGATATTTGTTGTTTTAACGTTTACTTTTCCTTAAATTCGGCTGCTTCATGCGATTACAAATTCTCGAAAATTATTCATGCCTCTTTAATTACTAGAATCCGGTAATGAGGGGATTTTGTCCTGTTGATTGTCCATAAAAAAATAATATTAGGTCTTCAACAATATTTTACCATCACTTTTAAGTACACGATTCACAACACGCCCTAGTTTTGCGACTTTGTAGAACTCTCCAAGCTTTTATAGCAATGTCTGGTTTAGCACAAAATGTGGTTTTCAGCCTACATATAAAAGCTCAGCGCCTTAAAATTCCATTTTTGTGTGTAATATTCTTTTGGGAGGCTCTGAACCTATTTTGCAGAAACTCAGCTTCTCCCCCAATACAAACTTCCTGTGAAAGAGAAGACTAGTTTAAGTACGACATTTTCAAGCGCTTGTTTAGTTTAGCACTGCATTAGCTCGAGGGAGGTTTACTCCATTGGTTACGTCAATCGCCAGGTTCGCGAATAAAGCAGTTTTAAGATAACAATGGAGATTCTCCCTACAATTAACCGTCAACAAGATAATAAAGTAGCCAACAAAGGGTTACTATTTGCTATGAATTAGTCAGTCTTTAGGGGATCTGAGCATAATTTCACACGTTTTACAATTGCTTCTCTATTTAAACTGCCCTTGTATAGGCTAAACAACCAAATTACACCCTCGTGTCCATAAAGACCCCTACAGACAGCGGTTTCTCCTCTGCCCATCAGCACATTTAAATTTATGAAACACAGAAGCTTAAGGACGTGTAGACTCTTCTCAATTTGCTTTTCGTGTACTTATTCCTTTTTTTAAGTATCAGAATCCTTTAATAGAAATTAAACTCACAAAAAGCGCGGATTATTTCATTCTGCTATCTACAGTTCGGCTTTTCGGTTTTACAGAAAAACCTCACCTCCAAAACTACATAAGGAACTGATTATGCTGATCCACGACTTTTGTCTTAATGATGTAAACCAAACAAACATTAACTATTTGACTTGCACCTAAACGGTACTTCAGATTTTTATGCCTTTGTGATTAAAATATTTTAATTGTCTGTTTTACGTCGGGTATGGTATGCGGCACGGCAGTGTAACCAAACTCATAATGCTACTATGGCAGTGTAAAACTAATTGCAGCAGACGCAATTTTAGGTTCTCTTCAATTCTGATTCCGCATATACGGCTACTGCAGAACTCCTGTGTTCAGCAGACATTTGTGTGGATGGGAACCGACCACGAAAAGCGGAATGATGTTTCAGCAGAGCTGGCCTTTATGGACCATCAGAGTGCTTAGCGCAAACCCTACATGGCCTTTCACAAAATGATGTTCACAGCAGTTCCACTGAAAACTCCTAAAGCTCTGCTTGTTTCACTTTCACACTCCTCCAGCATTTCACAGACCCTATATTGTTTGGTCTTATACATTGGTGCACATTAAAAAGCAGAAGCTGGGATTGCCCTATACCCTAACTCGTGTTTCCTTGTAACTTATCTCCATGTTCCCCATTTTCACCAGCATGATCGACTTGCAGTTGACAGGCATGCTTTTTGTGTGTGGGGAGAGGGGGAGGGGAGAGGTTGAGATGGTAGGGACCCTACGCCCCCCTCCTCCTTTCCAACGTCAGCTTTAATATTACTGATTATTCTCCCTAGCTATAGGATCATTCAAATTCTGATGTACGAGCTCTCTTCGCTGATATTCCTCTCTCGGCGTCTTTTACTCTCAAACACACACACGTTCACATCAGGAACTTGCACACTTTCATCTACACAACCACACACACACTAACGAGCTCATTTGTTGTTTGATTTGCAGGTCTACTAAGACAAACAGACCTTGTGTTGATTTTTATCCATCTTATCAAGAACATTGTATTTTATTTCACGAGATACTGCCCCTCTTGCCACCAATTTGAAAGTTACGTTCTTTCAGTATGACAGAAAAACACCAAGACACCGAATATTAATTTTACCTCCACACTTCCAATTTAAAAAAAAGACATCAAACAAAACTCACTATTCCGTGTACACTCAAATGAATTTAATGACAATTTGTTCATCGTAAAAGAGAGGGAAAGTGCTTCAGACTGAACAATTCAAGTTTTCATTTCGAGTGCGTTATCCTACACAACAAAGATACAAAAACGAGTAAATCACAAAAATAAATATTTCATTTCTATAAACAACCAGTGATTTCAAATGTCTTGTCAAGATCTGACCTCAAGTATTATGGGATAAACGGTAAGGGCAGACAATTGTTTCAAACAGTGACACCATTCGTGTGTATATTGGTTTCATCACATACAAATTTGCGTGACGGTTCACGCTAGTACCCCAAAGACTTTAAAATGTTTTACGTAGGTAAAGGAGCGTTTTTCTTACAGGTTGAAACCCTGGAAGCTTCACAAGCCCATCTGTTTACAAGTAGATAGGCCTACAGACGATAGAGCGTTCCTCTTCTGTACTCTTGACTCAGCGCGCTAGTTTTGGTGAATTTCTCCGTGACAAACGCAAGGTGATACCATGACCAGGGTAAAATAAGGTCTGACTTCCCCGAAGTGTTCGAAACCCGAACAGGGTCGCATTCATTTTCGGCCTGCGTTAGAAGTAAAGCTTTCTTTTAAAAACAGTTGTCGCGATGTACCCAAGAAACCCCAACCAGGGACTTTCATGCTTATAGGTCAGAAGTGCAAATGACAAAAATGGGGGTTGTCATTTAGTCCCCTACTTCAAAACAAACAAAAGCATTGGTGCGTGCTTGATAAGGACTCCATATGTCAATTGCGTTTGCATTTTACTCTTTTGTTACAATTTTACTAAAAGCCATCTTTGCCATTAGGAACTGTATTGTAGGCCTGCTGGCACAAGGAGAAAGGGGAGTGTTTTTTATGCTTTTATGCTTATTCTATCTTCAAAAAGTCTAGTTAATGTTGTAGTGGTGGTTTTATTTTGCACACCCTAAACGGCAGAGTGATCAAATCTTTCATATTTCGTCCCTTTGTTTTCTGTTCTAATAACATGTTGCTGCACTGCTTCCTGGACAGACTTTATTTAACAAATCAGCAATTGCAAATAAGGTCAGACACAATTGTGTTCAATAAAGTCCACGAACACCCAAGGTGTATTCCATGCACAAAAAAAACTGCAATTATGAGCATATGATACATTTAAATCGCACCTTTGCAAACTAAATTTCATATTCAAACAATTATACTTTCCTATGTGTTTGTTTATTGCATTTTATTTTCGCGTTGTTATTGAACTGCACGATTACCTAATTAAAAAACGTATTAATTATACTGTTGTTGGTGGGTTTTTTTCTCTTGGATTGCTTTTCAAAGGGGAAGGTGTCTGTTATTTTATTTTTTTAAAGTATGTATAGATTTTTAGGAATTAATTTGAATAGGTTTTCAGGATGTTCAAGTCTATGTGGCGTATAAATCGTCAACAGAAGGCATGGACTACAAATACTATATAGAAGAAAAATAAAAAATAAAATCCTGATGCATACGTTAGGGATTAGGAGATTATTTAATTAGAAATCCACCCTAAGGACAGCAATTTTCTTTTTTATACGGGAGAAACGTTTTTGTCTTAAAAATTATAAATTGCAACACGTTATCAAACTGGCAGTGTGAATACCCCCCTGACAATATATTCATCTTAAGAATCGGTAAAGCATGGAAAACAAGTAATGGTATTCATTCCTGGTTTTCGGATGCACTATGTCGGAACAGAGTCGCCTTTAGTCTAAGCCTTCTTACACTGGACAGTAATCGAACCTGAAATGGCCCCGTGTCTGGTTTTAACAGTGAATGACCTTGGAAATTTCGTAACTTGTAATCCAACTACTACATACACATATAAAATCGAGTATATAGCCAAATCTCTGTTTATCTGTGTTTGTGAGTGTAAAAAAACACGTTATTATTAGGCCTATTGTTAGGCCTGTTCTGTGAGACTAGCATCTAGTTCAGCATATTGAACTATACTGGCTGCATATTATTCTTAAACAGCTCTGATTTTAGTTTTACGCGCAACGTGCTCTGTTTTTGAATGACGTTAGTGATGATAGTTAATCCTTCACACGATGAATTTGGTTTCAAAGCAAAATCTCTTGAATATCCCCGTGACTGGTTTCTAAAAGGAAAGGGCTTCCTGCATTTTTATTTTCAGCTACACTTGTCAGTGGGGCTGTTACATATGTATATACGCATGCATATGTAACAGAATGTCTTCAATAAGTTCTAATAATTTTGCCTTATTTTCAGTATTAAAATTTAATTTTGATCACCATAACACTTTCCTTGAGTTCAGCTTTTTCAAAGTGCATAATTTCATACATCTGTGCTTTCGTTCACTGTTTTTAACGTAAATGAATGTGCTAGCGAGACACTGATTTGGTATTTGTGTTTTGTTACAGATCTTGTTGGGTGTTTCGTGCAAATCACGTCTCCTGATTGTCGGTAATTCAACTCGTGTTTTCTGGGCCTAATGTAGGAATAGTTCATTGGTGAGTACTAGGAAAGAAAAGCAAACTTCAAACTTCTCCCTCTGAAACGTGCTGTAAATTTTATAGTCTGGCTCTTACTTTTAAACAAACACACAGATTAAAACACACTGGTAGCGGGGATGTTGTTAAACGAACCCAACGCACAATTGCTCGTGTTGTCAAAATGGTGAATGAGGAAAAACAGCTTAACACACTGGTAATAAGATAATTGTAATTTCAAGAAAGCAAATTTTCAATAAAAGTCAGTTAGCCTCCAGTGCTGTTTGCAGATAAATAAAAATTGCGTTTTTATGAGAATAAAGACAATCCATTGAAGTGCAGCAGAAGTTTTGCAGAAAAGTTTGTCTCACAGGTAATGAAACAACCAATGTCTAACACACACTGTTTTACAATGGTACAACCTAGTACGCTGGGGTGGAAATAAAACTTACGTTTGGAAACATAAGTTTTGCAAAACTATAGTGCATTATTCGAATGGCTCTTTTCAAACTTTTTTTTTCCTTTTCGTAGAAATCCTTGAGGTACTTGATATCAGTTGGTATGGTAAAGCAAAAAACAAATGTCCCATCATGACAGTCACTTCAGTTCGATTAAAATTAAACAAATTAAAACTGGAATGCTTATTCACTAAAACGCCCACAGCTAACGCAGACTTTCAGAGCTTATTTAAGTTATTTCTTTTCCATCCACCCAGTTCTTTCGTGATACATAGTATATATATCCGGCAAAACGAATTACAAAGTTTCAGACGTTAAATTTCCTGAATTTGTGGCTCGGCGGAAGAGGCACTGCAGAACCACCTAGCTGCCACTTCCAAACGGGATGAGACTTGTGTGGTGGCTGGTTATCCTTCACAGAGTTTAAAGAATAAGCGGGACTCAAATCTCCATCATTTCCAATAATTAGTGACGGTGGAGAGGGAAAATTTGCCATGAAGTTAAAGGGCTTTTTCACAGTCATATTGCTGGATGCACGTTTACGTTTGCCTGTGCTCGATAAATCCTCCAGTGATCCTTCATAAAACTCGTTTTTACCTGTAGAACGCGGAGTCCTGTCTTTCACATTTAGTTTAAGTGGTGTTCTTTGAATTTCAGAGTGTTTTCCCAGTACGAGCGTTCTGTAGTTCTTCCTCACCCTAGCACCGTTTTTATATTCGCCTAACTCTGGGAACGGAGAACGTAAAGTGCTTTGAAATTCCTGGTTTCGTGTAGGAGACTTTTGGGAAGCTGCAGGGTTTTCGGCGATTGCAGTAGTTTTGTTTGCATTGTCTAAAGTGTCTGTTCGTCTGTCTGCACCATTCAGACATTTTGTATTAGTAGTAACGTCGTCGTCGTCAACACTGTGTTTGTATTCCGATCCCGTTTCGGAGAACTCACCCACGGAGCTGTACTCGTCAAAGTTGTCTTCTACTTTAATTTTTACATCGTGCAGAAAAGTTGGTGCTTTGCCCGTGTTAGTACTCTGAATGTGAGAATTTGTAGACAGAGTGTACTCTTCTGTCTCTGTCTTCACAGTATTGAAAGGCGGGGGCAGTTTGGAGCAATTGTTAATTTTCACCTCTTTCTTGAAATTTAAGGCTAATGAAGAATTGTTGTCTCTGAGCTGAGGAACTATTGTTTCTTTGTGTTCTGCACAGTGTGAGATCGGAGCTGAGGGGTATTTGTTTGCCTGTCCTAATATCCTTTGTTGAGGAAATTCTTTGTTTTCCTTTGGGCAAGGTGAAGAGCCTCTTTCTTTAAAACTGTTAATTGTAGGGTCAGTCCTCTTTGAATCATCTGAAATTTCAAAGTGTGACAATGCAATCTCTCGTTCTCTCTCCCTCTTTGATTCAGGGAAGCAACTTGCAGGAATTGCTGGGAAGAGGCTGCGCTGCTTTGTTGCGTGGCTCTCATCTTGCTGTTTCTTCACCACACCGAGTTTAACATCAGATTTCGGGAGTTTCCTGCTCGCAATGCCATAATCCAACAGAGTTGCCCCGCTTTGATTTGTTGGTCTTTGATGCAGATTGTAGTGGAAACTAGGCTGAGCCAGCAAAGGTGCCGTATTGTTTGGGGTTGAAATGCTTGCGCGCCTGAACCTTATGCTCTGCACCGAAACTTCGCTGGAAACTGAACTGGAATCCGAGTCTGACGAGCTTTCTTCGTCGGAGCTGACATCCGAAGAATCAGACTCCTCTTCGTCGTCATCCGACGTCCCGGAGTTACTGGTTGTGGACAGACTTGACCCAAAATCCGAGTCATTGTCGGCACGTTCTGAGTAAGAACTTGACTCGGTGTCACTGCTGTAGCTTTCCTGAAAATGTCCAAGATGATGGTGGTCGAGATACACCCCGTGCTCGATGTGAAATTTATTCAAAGATCCGTTAGTAGCTTTAGACTTACAACATTTCGGGACCAGCACAACTCGACGATTGTTCCTGCTCGTATTCCAAAAGTGCTTTCCCGTGCTCTCCAACGATCTTTTTCTCTTATAAGTCAGATCAGCAGTGCCCGACAGCTTGGTTTGAGCTGCAATGGCGGACTGGTAGTGTACGGGTTGTCTGCTGCAAACCACGTTCCGAAAAAACGAGTGACCTGGATGAAATGCTACACAGTTGCTGGGTATTTGAATTGTTTCATAGTTTTGACGGTCCTTGCACTGCGGCGTTGTCACCGCTGGGTAGCTGTGATTAGCGAATGTGTTGCAAATTTGAGGTAGATTTGAAGCCGGGAGAGAGCCAGTCTCCTCCTGGTGCCCAGTTTTGTTTTTAAATAAGAAAGGCTGAGGGACCCCGTGCAAACTCAGCCAAACTTTTTCCTTCCAAAAACTATCGTGAGGGTCGGGGCGAATCGGCTTGTCATAGAGGTCCTCCGAGGCGCTGGCGTTGATTTTTCTTCTTTTGGTTTTAAGCACACGTTCGGTTTTGCAAGAAACATACAGAGCTTCCACGTCTTCTCTTGAAATCAGAGTACATTTAGCCGCATGAAAAGCTATAGAATTTATTGCTTTGAGTTTTCGTAGTTCCTCTAGGTCACAGTGATGCTTCTTCACGTTTAAGTGGTCCATTCGTTTGTGCACCGTCGTTCTCGGAATATTTTTCAACAGATCGGTAAAGACTTGGGAAAGAGCAAACATTTGTTTCCCCTTAATAATCAGGTACCCGAGCTTCACGCCATCCATCTCTTCAAAACCAGACTCCAAGTCTCCCATTTTGTCTATTGTATTAATCCCCACATCTGGCACGATAAAATCCACAGCGATATTCGTAATGTCTCATGGCATCTTGCTACCAAAACAGCAAAACTGTTGTATCCTCGCAGCGCCCCAAAGTATGAAAGTTTGCAAATAATAATAATATCAATAATAATGAGAATTAATCCATAACATCGGGTGCCGTATAACTGATGAAATGTATATAGTGTTGCCTATATACAGGCTTCTCTAGGTATCTGTATATATGGTTGTACCTGCGGTCTTTTATTTCACTCTCCATTTGCTCGCAGAAGAGAAGGTGAACTACACACAGACACAGGGAGAATGAGAGCCGAAATGCAGCTCCTATTCCCGCCGCTGCTTTAGCTACAAATAAAATGACAGAGTGAAGTGAGCAAGTCTGGAGACACCTTCATCAATTAATTCCCCTAAAGCCAGCGCTGATTGGACGCTACTGACAGGTGATGCAATAAAAATTGATATTCCACCCCCTTACCAAAAAATCCCCAGCTAATTAGCATATTCTTATACTCCCACCTCTCTTCTTAAAGTAAATAATGGAGCAATACAATGTTAATATTTCTGTGCTGATTTTGAAACTGGAAAATGTCTATTGACACTTTACCTGCGATGATTTTTTCTATGTTTTTAGGCCAGGTAAGGTTATGTATATATGATTACCTATGCAATCTTATAACGAATCCAGTAGGGACAACCAGAAAAGGCTTTTCACCCAAATAATTTTACAACAAGCATCAGTTAATGTATATTGGAAATTTGGGGTCTTCTTTTTTCGGCGTATCTTTACCGTTTTGCGTTGTCCGGAGACACATTTTCATTGTGTCACACCCCCGATGTTTCTGCTGACGAGGAATCCCAAATACAGAGTATTTTATTTTAAAAACGTTTTTTTATTACACTTTGGATAGACTTAATAATATGAATATTTTTCACCACGAAACCGCGGCCCAAGTCTCTAATCCGAAGAAAAAAACTGACAGGCCAATATTATACCTTTAAGGTATAATGTGGCATTGTAACACGACGGCGTTTTAGCAAATAGGCACCACCACCACCATCATCATCTTCATAACAATAATAACAAAAATAAATCGTTGTAATGATTATTTAAAATCTTTATTGTTTCTTGAAATGTCAATTGTTGAATTATTTAAGGATTTATGTAAATAGAATATTTTTACTAAATCAAACGCTATCAAAGACCCAATGTTTTCAATGTATTTGTCTCGATTCAGAGTTCTCTCCTATTTTTATTGTGAATAAACTCTCTTCTTCTTTGTGGTTGTGCACCGTACTGGGACTGCGTTTGATTCTTTTAACATTTACCTTGAAATACTTATAGCTCACACACGCTTCCATTAGGGCATGAGAAGTGCAGTCTTTGAGATAAAGTTGCTTTTCACCTAAAAGGGTGGAGGCGGTGTCCTGTAATCGCCAACTGCAGACATTGGGCTTTTAAATGCCTTAAATGATCTAGTATTCATCTTCGGGGTGTAAACGTGCACGTTTACGTACTTTGCACCCGTCACGTATACAATGGCTACGGGTATTCTTAAAAATCATTTAGCAAGTACCTATGTCCGATCCGTGGTAGGACTAAAACACCGGAATAACAGTACTCCGCCGCGGCTTCACACTGGGAGTACCAACCGTATGCCGTGCTAATGTCAATGTCCAGTAATTGCCATGTTTTAGGATAACCTAAAGCGCAAAAAAAAAACTGTAAAACGGAAAGGTTAGCCGTGGCATCATTGAGACCAAAAAAAGTTTTCCTATGCTTAATCGTACGCGAGCGGTGCCAAAATCCAAATGACTTGCTGAGGCACTGCTGTTTCTCGGAACTAAGCTCCACTGAATGCCGACCACCACAGCTCGTAGCATAGGATCTCCACAGAACGTCTGTGGACTTCCCCTTTCTTTAAAAAATCATCTCCGTCTTTTTCGTGTGTCTCTATCGCCATATCTTACCACCCTAAACAAAACGTTTTTTAATCCCCAGACTTTTTTTTCTCTCTGTCCTCACCCAGTTTTGATCAGTTATATGAAAACATCACCCTGAAGAGTCCGGAACAACTAATATAGCCCCAGCTTTGAGCGCCTGTCGATACGCTACACATTGCTACCAACTGTTCTTGGCTGAAATGATGCAGATACGTGTTTTCTAAAACGTCTTCGTGTAACATTGTAAACCAATGTACTCAAGAATCTATTGTGATATGCGAGTGCCTGTGTTTCTGTGAGTGTGTGGGCACGCATATATGCAATATGTGCTCGTATAGACAGAAAAGGCAAAGGGCAGACGGTAAAAAAAAAATACATGCGACGCAACATTGTAAATGTGTGCAAGCTCCACATATTGTAAAAATTAAATGGGCAGAACTTTAAATCCTTTTTCTCAAGATCAACAAAACCCATGCTAATACCTTAAGCTATGTCCTGTGCTTATACATAACTACCGTGATTTTTCCACGACCATTTGAAATTGCAATCAATAGTAAGAACTGGAATGCCAGGTCGCTCTGCACACTAGAGCTGGTGTGGGGATCTGCTGAAGGACGTGGTGGTCGATCCTGATAATAACGAAAAAGGCTTGTGGGGCCCCCTCACAGCCTGGTGAATGGCTGCTACTTTAAGATAGATTTGTCCACCCAGGGGAATGCAATCAATGACTAACGTTTATTGTGGATTATGATGTTGAATCTTTGAGGTAATTTATAATAAATCGCAATGCTAAAATTGACGTGCTTTTGCTTCTCATTTTTGATAGACAGATCTATTGGATACATTTTGGGCATATCAAATGGCTGTGATACTTTGTAAAAAATATAATAATAATAATACCCACCCCCCAATTCCGGTGAAGAATTAGCACTGCGAGATTATATCTTATTCTTTCTTCAGGTACTACTTAGTTTTTCCCCAGTCAAACATCAAATTAATTTGGTACAAACAAGAGAGAAAGATAGATCGGTTCTGAGATATATGTGCATAGATTTAAAGTTGTTCTCATAAAAATACCAAATTTTAGTGAGCATCTGAACAACCAAAAACCATGCTATATTTCTTTCGGGCTGTACATGACTTGGGTTTATTGTGGTATAGTTTTTGATGGTGGGAATAATGATCGAAAAGCTTCACAGTGTATTTTTGCAAGAGGGTACGTTATGTGTATTGCAGGCTGACGGAGCTTTTTAACCTTTAATTCAATTACTTTGTTAGGAAAACGGTGTGAGAAGTGGACTTGGAAGTGGGAAATTTAAAAAGGGTCACAGCAACTAAAATGGATATGCAGAATTATTTGGCCTTCCCAGTATCCTGGATTCTCGTGTTTGCTAGGTAGTCTGTATTTCAGGAGGAGACATTTATCCAGAGTTTCACAATAAGCATACGTGCAAAACAAACTGTTCCTCTCTCCTTGTAGATTTCCGAGCTGCATCAACAGATTTCCGTTTTTACTTTTGTCTATACCAGTCGCAAAATAGAACTGATTAGGATGAAAGCATTGCCTCACATGGCGTGTTTCTTTTGCCACCCGCCTGCTTGTGAAAGGACTGCAATGCTAATGTTTTTTTTTTATTTAAAACGTTGAATCAAAAGTTGCAAAACGTCTACCTATGGTTCAATGTTTTTTTTTTCTCCCTGCCAATTGGACATTTTCATCACCTCTGTTTCTGGTAACAAACGCAGAAGAATGTGATAAACGCTTTTATATTTTTTCTAGAAAGTTTTCTTGGCAAATGCAAAAATGGATTCTTGGGGCTTTTACTTTGGAATGGGGGTTAAGATGAGCAGTAGATTTTTTTTATATGATACGTTCTCTTATCATTTATAGGATTTAGAAAATATCCAGATTATATTTTTAGACAATTATTTGTGTGTATTGCCTAATATTGTTGCATTTAACTCTGTAAAACTCGTGGTTTTACACAATTTGATCAAACGTCGTTTCGGTAAGTTGCTGTTTTAAAGTATCTCATTACGTAAGGGCTTCTCCTTTATTGGTGCGCTCTATTCCATCTGAACGACGACCTTTACCAGTACTGCACTGACCTCTAGCCTTGTCGTGACCCTTGACCTGTCCCGAACTCAAAACAGGCTTGCTGAATTTGAAAAATACAATGGCTTAAGCATTTTTCTGGGGCCTTAGTAGTGAGAGACTGGAATTAAGGAGAACAGTTCCCCCCAAACTAAGCCCTTGATCACGGAGTTACAGTTTCCCGCAATTATGATAGTCATAACCTGAAAGCAGTGGGTACATGTATATAGCATGCATTCTGGCAATTAAAATTGTGTTGATAGCCCTCACAAGTGATAATCCATTAAAAGATTAAACGCCACAACGTATTAAGGAAACTCAAATATGCTTAATTAGAAAAATCATAGTATTCATATATAGACCTGGATGTGCAATAATGTGTTAAATTGTGTCAAATGCCTACGTTTTCAAAAGTTTCATGTTTTGCAACAGATTTTCATACGTTTTTGTATCAAAATGAGGATTTATTTTCACGAGACGAATTTCAGTTGTTAAACAAATTTTACTTGCTTTTCGTGCTAAAATCTCACCCATTGTCTCCAATAATTTGCTCATTGTGAGAACGTTCCATAACGTTTTTTTATGGTCTATGTCACTTTTTAAAAATCCCTTTTTCCCAGTGCTATTTACGTCCAGATACAACTATACTATTAAAAATTATAAAATTGCACACATTATGTTTTGAAATTGATATTTTTAAATGATATTTTCAAGGTGAGTTGTGTATTGTGCTTGTGGGCGCTACGTACTTGCGTTTTTATCTGTAAGAAAGACTGGGGTTTATTTTTACACAATCCACATTTCGCAATTTAACTGACTATACTTACAAACACACATTTATAATATCACTTGTGTCAGTGGCAGTAAACTTTTTTTTAAAAAAACATGCCACTTGGGAAACGTAAAACTCCAAAATAACTAAAAAATAATATAGTAAAATAATAAGAAAATGGTTTTTTTAAAATATGCCGGGAATATTATTCTCAGTGGTAAAACTTCTTAATTTAGTTTGAAAGACTCATAGTTTACGTTTGCTTTAATGCTAACAGCTCCTTTTTCCTAGGCTGCATTGTTAATCTCCTTTGTTTCGTCATGTTCCAGTTTGTCAAACAAAAACACACAACATTGTATAGCTTGCTTAGTTTTTGGACTTCTTCAGAAAACACAGTTTGCGGAGTTCTTTATGGAAAAAGGCGAAAGCTCCGCGCAGCTCCTTCAAAGTTCAAACCTCTGGCGTGCTCATTTCTTGTGGCAAAATTAGGATGGGCTTGAACGGTGCAAACGTGACCGATTGACAAAGCAGGGGTCCACATACTTGCAACAACGTGCTCGGATACTGAAATCGTAGGGGGGGATACTACGGATTGCTTAAACATTTTTACTACTAAAGAAACTGACGTTGCATTTGTAGATGCTATTCAGAAGGATCGTGTGGGCAAACTTTGATGGAGAAGATTTTCAGATTAGAACGAATGTAAGGTAAGAAGGCATATTTGTATCCAGCTGCTGTTTGAAAACAATGGCAGAACAAAGGAAGGATTTTCCCCCCCCGTTTCACTCAGTTTAATTCCCTTTTTCCCTCTAAATGCATCGGCTCATATTCACCCGTTGCAACAAATATTTTTTTTTTCTTGTCTTAACTGCTTTTTGGAAGTGAAAGTAAAAACTTGTAAGTAAAAATAAGAGACTCGTCGTTTTTCAGGTGTGCTCGAAATGAAACAGTTAACGGCATCTTAAAATGTTTTCTGACACAGTTAACAGCAAACAAACGTTG